TTGCGATCCGTTGCCGGACATGAAAAAAGACAAAAAGGAAAAAAAAAAAAAAAGATGACCGGTAAGGGGATCTTAACCCTTGACCTGGTGTTGTCAGCACCACGCTCAGCCAGTGAGCAAACCGGCCATCCCTATATAGGATCCGAACCTGTGGCCTTGGTGTTATCAGCACCACACTCTCCCGAGTGAGCCACGGGCCGGCCCCTGAGCCAGTTACTTATCCTCTCTGAGCCTCAGTTCCCTCATCTGTAAGTGACAGGAGCGTTTCGTTCCCGGGTCAGCAGGAGGCTGCACAGCAGCGAATACACGGGCAGCGCACAGCACGGAACGCCCCGTATCTGATGTTTGAAGTGCTGGCCACAGAAATGCACACCGGTTGCTTGTTTGGGCCTCATCAACCCTCAGTTTTTTCTATGTAAATAACAATAGGAAGGTTGGCAGGAATGTAGTTTTTCTTTCTTTCCCCAATTATGGGATTATATGTTTTGTAATTTTGATTTTCACTTAGCAACATGTACTGTAAACACCTTTTCATGTAAATAAATATTTGTAGAATAAATCTCATCAGTTAATATATCAAAAATACTGGCCACTCCTTTCTCCCCATCCCACGTACAGCACAAAGGCTGCAAACACTGTTCTTCAGGGCCCAAGAAGTTTGTGTAAAAACGCAGCGCTGTGTGCATCGTCGTGGCTTTTTTGTCTTCCTCCCACATTCTTCCCCAGGCCTCCCTGAGGTCCCCTGGGTGGGGAGGGGGGACGCTGGTGGGGGCTGAGAGGATCCACTGCCACCTGCAGAGAGCTCCAAGCTCCATGGCGGTCACAGCTGATACACCTCAGATGAGCAGTTTGGCTGTCACTTGGGGAAGAGGTTTCTGGGTTGTGTGTTTTGTTGTTGCTGATGAGTCTAATCAAGTTTGAGTACGATTAGGAGTGTCTGAGCCTGGCTGCTGGGCTGGATCCCCTGTAGGAAACCTGGCTTCAGCACTCGGTAGCCCTGGATGACCAGACAGAATCACATCTGAGCTGGAACAGTCCCCATCCGTGGAACCCCATCGCTCTGTATTGAGGCCCAGAGTGGGGAAGACCTGTCCAGGGACACAGAGCTAGTCTAGAACTCAGGTCTCCTGCCTCTGTCTCGGGCACTTCTCGGACCAGCTGCCTTTTCCACCACCTGGCAGCTGTCAGGAGGTGCTGCCTTCTTCGTCTAAAGCAGAAAAAGCAGCTACAGGGCACGGGGGTTCAAAGGGCAAATCAGATCAGTGATCCCACCTGGCCCATGGGGTCAGAGTTCCCCCACAAGGGATGAGGCTGGGACATCCCTCTGGGTGGGGATTGGCCTCTCCCTCTCCCGCCTGACTGGTCAGCATGCTATAGGCCCCCTCCTGTCACTACCTCCTTGTTTCTTGGAGGGGATAAATGGTTTGGCCTTTGAATAAGATTATTTTTGCACAAAAAAGGATTGTTATCACTTAATTGAAAATAATTATCCAATGCAAATTGAATTCAACTTGTCTTGGTGGAAATAAAGAAGTGAGTATTATGGGCAGTTTCACTGCTGCAAAGAGAGGTATTTTAAGTAAATGAAAGTAATGAGTTGCAGCCTGCACTTTCTGCAGGACACCCTGGGAAATCTGCAGGCCTTTCTTGAGTTGGCCCCCAGTGGCTGGGGAGTCTGGTTTACCCCCTTATCCAAATCAGGGGTTGTCTTAATGGGTCTGTACAGGAGGAGAAGTTCTGATGGAGCCGAGGCCCTGGGGGCAGCTGAGTGTAGCAGGGATGCGCGTAATCCTGAACCAGTGGTTCTGCCCCCTGGGGCTTATCCTGACAGACACAGGCTCTGGCCTCCTCCAGGAACAAGGACAAAGAAAGGGTCAGGGGACAGTAGAGAGCGCTGCTGCTGACGCAAGTCTGATGTGGGAGGTCATGTCTCCTCTTCCTTCTGTGTTCTCTGTCCCAGGCACTGGCACCTTTGAACCCCCCAGGCACCTGAGCCAAACCCTGAGTTCTCCAAGGCTCTCGCTCAGTCTCACCCACTCCCTGACTGACTGATTCACTGTCACCTCCATCACTTTCCCTCAGCATTTCTTGGCTTTCTTCACATCTTTCTACCCCCACTGTATTGATACCCATTGCTGCAGTAACACAGAGTGACAAACAGCCACTGAGGTCCAGTGTCCTAAACAACAGGCATTCTTTCTCATGGCCCTGCAGCTCTGCTGACCTCAGCTGGGCTCCCCAGGAGTCCGCAAGCTGGCGGACAGCTCTCCGCGTGTGTAGTCCTCCCAGGATCAGGGGCGAGCTAGCTGGATGGGCCCTTCTCATGGTGGTGGCAGATGCATAAGAGGGCGAGTGGCAGTATGGGAGGCCTCTTGAGAGGTCAAGTCTATCTAGTCGCTTCTGCCCCGTTCCATTGGCCAAAGAAAGCCACATCATCAAGTCCAAAGTTCAGGGGTAAGAGAGTCCAGTCCTCCCATGATGAGAGTATAGCCTGAGTGTAGCTGCAGAGGGGAAGAATTCAGGTAAATACTACCATCTCCCGTCCCTGCTCCTGCTCTAGTCCCGACTGTCTCACTGAAGTCCCACCTCCGGTCTCAGCACCTGTAATCTATTCTCTACAGAGCAGTTAGTTTGCTCTTTCTAAAATGCAAACCTGATGGTGTCACATTTCAGCTTAAAATCCTTAAAATCCTTTTCTTAGTGGTCTTATTTCTCTTTTCTGAGAAAAATTGAAATTCAATTGTAAAATTACTGTCTTTACCAATATCCTAAGGGGCCTATGAAATATGCCACCTGTACAATTGTCATGGGGGCTCCTCTGATTGAATTGCTCTGCTTCTCCTTGCTTCTAGGGACAGCCCTGACTGTTCATGGTTACACACAGTGATGCGCGGGAGATCTCCCACCTAAGTAAGGGCCAGCGCACCCTGGGAGGAACATGCAGCAAACCCTCCAGCAGGACCGGGGCTGTGGGATGGGGTGTCCGAGTGCTGTGGCACGGGAAGGCCATAGCATGGTGCTAGGCCCGCGGGAGGACTGTTATTCTCTTCCAAAATCTGACCACAAGTCTCCCGGGTGTAAATGTTCCACAAAGAACCAGTTGTGTTTAATGAACATTGCTGTATAGACGAGTGCTACCCAACACGAGACCCTGTGGGCCAGTGCTGGTCTGCAAACTCTTGGTTAAATGTCAGTGAAGGAATAAGGAGTTTGTACCAGAATGTACGTTACTGTTATTAAGCAGACTGTCTGGTTTAGCTGACTTTTTCATAATAAGACTTTCTCAATGAAGGAAGCAGTGCACTGACTTTGCTCTCTGGTGCTAGCTCCTAATCCCGTGTGGACTGGTAGCAAAGTTTGTGGCCCAGCTGCTTTGAGACTGCTTGTCTCTCCTCTCTTTGGGGACGTGGACCTGAGGTGCCCAAGCGTCTCTGAGTGGAACCCCAGGGTAAAATTATGAAGGCACTGGGCAAAAGCCAGTAATCCCCAAAATGATGAAGTGCTATAATAATAAAAAATGGGAAGCAACCTCAAGAGATGGTTGGTTACATAAGTTATGTATGTCCACTTAACGAAGAAGACTGCATTCATAAAATAAGAGTTTGGGGACTTTATAACAGGACGGAAAAAGGCTTAGGATATAATAGGAAGTTTAAAAAAAAAGCATGATATAAAATTGTGTGGGCCGTCCACTATGTAACATGTAGATAAGACACATGTGTACACACTCACATACCCCGAAGGAACTGCGTAAAAACACAAATAGGGGATTTGTTAGGTGTGATGATACACTTTTTGTCTTTATTTTTTAAACTTCTGAAATATAGTTCTGTTTCTCAATAATGAAAACAAAATTTAAACCTAGCGATAACATATCTTGGAAATAATATATTTCAACATGTTTCACCTGGTATTTTCTATTTCAGTGTTTCATTAGATTCCCACATTTGTACATCAAAAAATCATCAATTCAGAATTTATGATCCCTCGGACTGGGTCCCTCCTCCCTTCTTTCTTTCCTTCCTTAGTTACTCACTCAACAAACCTCTACTGTGCACTCCCTAAGCGACAGTCCAGGGCAGTGGTAAACAGGCCATCATTCTCCTGCCTCATTGGGGCTGTGGGGACAGCTTGGCATTCTCGTAATTCATCTAACATTTGCCCACTTTGCTCTGTGCCCTGGCCTAGGCCCGTGCTGGGGACAGAGGCAGGTCCCCACGGTCCAGCAAGAGAGAAGACAGATGCATACCCACGAAACATACTCAGAAACGTTGGCTAAAACCTTAAAAACTTAATACATGCTCGTAATAAATTCGAACAATACTTCACGTGAAAACAAAAACCCACTTCCCAGAGATAAGCAGAGGAATAGCTGGGTGTGGATCCTTCTGGATTTCTTTCTGTGAATATACAAAGACATATTTATAGATACATAATTTGTATCTATTTTTATTATAAATGGATATTCCACATAGAATACACATATACAAAGCATAGAAATTTCTTTAGGTAGTCTCTGTCCACACGGGCGCGCGCTCGCACGCACGCTCCCAAACATCTGCAGGAGCTGTGGCTTGGTTGTCATTTTTACAAAAGCGGAGAATGTATTTAGTTCGGCAACTTGAATTCTCCTTGTTCTATAGCAAAGCCGACAAATGTGCGAAGTGCTGGGGGACCACAGAGGACGGCATCGCGGTGGCCCTGACGGTGGTGACCGTAGAGTCGCTCCTGCCCCCTCGTGGGGCGGGTGGCGCGGTGGTCCTGACAGCAGCCTGCGAGGCGACCCCGCCCCCAGCCCGGACCCCCGCGAGGCGACCCCGCCCCCAGCCCGGACCCCCGCGAGGCGCTGGATTTCGCTGGGCAGAGAGACGGGAGACAGGGATGCCAGGGCGAAGAATGGGCCCAGGTAAAGGCCTGGGGGAGGGAGATGGGGCCGCCTCTCTGCGGGACGTCCCTTCACGCGTAGCAGACGCTCGCCAGGTGCTTGCCCGGCGCTGCGCACTTTGATTCACTGTCTTCCTTCCAAAGGCCCCAAAAGTGCCCCTCAGGTTCCTCCAGCATCTGGAGCCAGGGCGCGGCCCCGTTGGATGCGAGGGCTGGTCTGCAGAAATGGTTATTGGGGTCCCAAGTTCACTATGGAAGCCAATGTGGAACTTATACGTGAAGGAGCAAGTTGCATGGACAGAACCCGTGTTGTTCACACAGCGAGGAGAAATTAATTCAGGAGGTGAAGGGCGGGGTCAGGTGGGGCCGGCCGGACCTCACTGTCCACTACCCTTTAAACGGTGTCCACTACACCGTCTAGGGGCAAGCCAGCCGGGCCCACTTCCACTGTGACAGCTGGTCTCATAAAATGAGAACCCTTTACAAATGGGAATTTACCTAATGCTAATCTGGATAATTAAAAAAACCCACCCAAAATACCCCACAGAAATTTAGAAGGAACTACCACTGACGTGCCTAAGTACACCGGCGCGTTTCTGCGTCTTATTTCGGGGGCGCTCCCGAAATGACTGGCCCAGGGGCCTCCCGGGTGGTGGGTAGCAGGGGTCAGGGAGCAGCTACAAAGTGAACCTTCAGGCCCAGGCCTACCTCGGGCCCCTTACCGGCTCGGTTCCTGTGGATTTAGCCCAAGCACATTCCCTATCCCTTCTCTGGGCTTTAATGTTTTCCTCTGTGACTTGGGGTGGTGGGTGTTGGGGACAAAAGTTCACTCACAATAAAATGAGGAGGGGAACCTCCAAGAATCCTTCCCAATCTGATCATATTTAACAATAACAAGGGGAAAACAGATCAGCCGAGAACCACTGCACTGGCCTAGATTCAAGGCCTTAACCCAAGACCTTGTCCCGAGGTCCCCTCACCCCATCCCGGGACACTGAGTCTACTTCCTTGGGTCCCCACAGTTTAAGTTACCTGTAGGTATTGCCTCCTCCCCTACACACTCACACCCACAGAATATTGAGCTCTCCAGTTTGTGCCTCAGCTCATCCATCTCTATCCCCAAGTACAGTAACTTGGGACCTTGGCCACATCATCTGGACGCTTGAGCATCACCTCCACTCTGCCACTTTCCCTCACAATCTAAAGCTGGCACAGCCATCTGACCCGTTTGAGGTCACCAATAGCACAAGTCTCACCCTTGATCAGCCATGCTGGGATCATTCCTGGCATCAGACAACTCCATCTGCAATCAGGTGGTCATATCCTCGTCCTCTGTACTTCCTCTCCTGCCACAACCCATGCCTGACCCCGTGGTGCCGTCCACCTTCACCTGAACAAGTCCCTCACTGACCTGCCTATTAGCCTTTGAACAAGCGTGTCTGAGATGCTCTTTCTCCCCTATTCATTCTGCCTTCACCTCTTCAGGGGAAGCCTCCCTGATCCTGTTCTTCCAACCCAAGTCAGAACTGAGCCTCTGCCCCACCCCTCCCAGTTCCACAGACCCCGTACCAGCCTGGGCTGAGTGTCATGGTCACCTGTGTGCATATCATATTAACTTCCAGCCTTTTTACACTGCATTCTAAAACACTTTTTAAAAACAGATATATACGTAAAGTATGATCACAGCTCAATACATTTTCCAGTATTTATACATCCATGTATGGGCTTAGGACATAGATGGGTAGGTTGAGGCACAAACTTGAAAGCTAAAGACTCTCTGTGGGTCTCACCATATGTGCTGGGGAGGTGGAACTACCCGTAGGTAACTTAGACGTTGGGGGCCAGAGAGAGACACATGCTCAAAGTCCTGGGATGGGGTTAGGAGGTCTCAGGATGAGGTTCTTGATCCCCCACATTAAGATGTAGACCATTTCGAGGACCCCAGAAGGTTCCCTTGGTCCCCTTTTGATCACTATCTCCCCAAGGCAACTACTATCCCGACTGCTAGCCCTGTAGGTTAGTTTCGCCTATTTTGAATTTTACAGAAATGGAATCTTGTGTCTGATTTCTTTTGCTAGGCGTGTTTACAAGATTCCTCCACGCTGTTGCAGGTAATGTAGTATTCCATTTGGTTGTGTAGCATCCCATTTTGTGAATGCACCAGAATGTATTTACCCATCCTCTTGCTGAAGGGTATTCCCAATGCATTTTTGTGTGGGTGAGAGATCATGCTGAATGTACAACTTAAAAATATTTTGATAACTTAATGGCTTCTTCATGCTCTGTTGAATTGATTGCTATCATTTACTTCTCCAGTCTGTCATTGTCAAACCTTTCCAAAATCCATAATTACAAAGAATATTCTGTGAACATCTTAGTAGATAATTCTCTAAGGGCATCCTAGTTAATTTTTAGGGTACAGTCCTAGAAGTGAAGATACTGGGCCAAAGGAGTGACCATTGTAAGACTCTACGTGTATGACCAAAGTGCTGAAATGGAACTTGTGTTAGTTTGCTAGGGCTGCCATAACACTATACCACAGACTGGGT